GACTCCTCAGAACCACTTGCAAGAAGAGAGGACCCTGCCTAGGTTCAGGTCAGGTCAGTCTGTATGACAGTAAGGCAGCTTTTTAGAGCGGGAACTTGAATTTACCATGTCAAACAACTGTACATTTCTTGGACTATAAATTATTAGTAACTGCTTTGCAGCAGCTAATTGAGGCTTTCAGCAATTTTATTATTCAGGGATAAACACCCCAGGCAAGGAGAAGGCTCAACATCTAGGACCAGGCCTGAATGATGCAACCAGATGATGTCTAAAGTAGTAGATACACCCCACACCTGGCACACCCATCTGCTTACTGACACCTGGCATGCCCATTTGCCCCAAATTCTTAAACCGTTCTATTTGGCGAATAGGTATTGAGGCAGTTTTTGTTTTTAAAGGCCTATTGTTTATCAACAAGAACACCTGCAGCCTGGAAATATAGATGGGCTGAATGCAAGCTACATGACTTTGCAAGTCATCCTTGTACAGGCATAAGAAGCCATTTTTTTTTAGCAGTTCCCATTCCAAACACTAACCCTTTTCTCTGCAAGAAGCTCATCTGATTAAAGCAATTTATTTACCAAATGTTGATTAGTTGAAAAACGGACTTCAAAGCAAGAAGCACGTTAAGGAAACTATTTTACTTTTCATACCATAAAAATTGTTAGAGTGGTTTGTTAATTCTAAAAAAAAACTGGTACCAAAGTTAGCACACAGGTTGAGGTCTTGTATAACAAGTGTCAGACCAGGGAAAGCACTACCTGATCTAAATTAACCAGCAGAAAAACTGGGCTTGTCAAATGAAAGGGCAGCTCCAGCAGACAGCCCTGTCATTTTGTGGTCTGTGAAAGCCCTTGCAGGACCAGCCCTCCTAGCAGCACAATTAGGGCCAATGGTAGAAAGAAAGAATGAATTGGGAAATACCTGGCCAGCTCTCCTGGTGAAAACAAGATTTGGTTTGGTTTTTACAAAAAGCGATTTCTTGTTTGTCAGTCACCTCTTGCCCTCGCGCAGTGAGACCAAGCACTGCACAACCATCGCACACAGCCTTGAGGGAGGAAGAGCTAACTCTGTTTCAAAGAGGCAAACAACAACTAAATGCCTTTCTCTTTGGATCTTCCCAGTGCAACAGCCACTCCTGCAAACAGACACACCAGAACTGCACAAGGTAAACTAACTATGAGCCAACTAAGCAGCTTGAGGCGCACTAGTATTATTTGGAGACAGACGGAGAGAACTTCAGTTTCCCTGGCACTTCGATATACATTTATATATTTTGCATGTGGTAATGCTGTTCAGAGGGATGAGCAATAATGGCTTTTAGGGTCAGATCCAGTAAGGGACTTAGGTGCCTGGCCCCAACACTGGAACTCCACATACAGCCACCTGCAGCTAGACACTACAGAAATGCTGAGGAGAGGGAAGGTCTTTACACCTGCATGTTTTATACAGCCACTATTCCATGAAGAATACAGATATAATCCTGGGAGCAAAGACTGGCAGCCAGGATGCACCCCCTACAAATGCCTTAACCATGAGGCTGGAGCCTCAGGCTCCCTCTTGTGCTCATTCTTTCAGCTTAACTTGCAGTTTCTGGCCAGAGACAGCTTCAATGGGAGGGGTGGGAGAGCACCCTCCCTATTTTACTGGCTGGTGAAGATGAATTTCCTCAGGTAGGGAAGTGAACAGATCCCAGGTCTTCTACTTCGTGAGGAAATGCTTAGCTGATGCGCTAGTATGTGAAGGGGAAATGGCAGCATCTTCCTCCAGTCCCATTTCAAAGGAAACTAGTTGTTGCAACATCGGTGTTTGGATGTGCACACAGAACACCTGCCTGCTCCAGCCCCCGGGACCTAGGCAGAGGGCCCCTTTCCCAATCAGGCTAAGGCACGAGCTGCTCAGCCCTGGACCTGTGGGGAGGCAGGACACCAAGCACCTGGAAAAATCAGGGAATGGGCACCAATGGAGCTCAGGCACTCAAGCCCTTTCTTGCGTCGGGTCCTTAGTGACTTCTGAAGTTCACTGTGCATGTTAGAATGTGGAGACTGTGTTGATGCAAGAGGACAGGCTCAAAACATCCTACTGAAAAGAAAATTACATCTTAGGATGCATTAGAAACATCTAATTAATATTTCATTCCAATTAAAGGCACTTCTAAGGCTACAAGACCACCATTATCTACAGTGAACGTTTTAAGGTTAACAGTGCATGTTGTCCTGAAGTTAGCTTCTGTGAAATAAAGGCAAGCTCACGGAATTACCAAAGACCTGAAGATGAATCATCTGTAATGAATGATTTGGGAGGGGGGGGGAACAGGAGCACACAACACCAACACATACACTAGGTGAAACAAGTCACAGAAAGCTAGCACGGAAGCACAGAAATGCATTCCTTCTAAACCCGTGTTGTGACAAGTAATTCGTTCCCATATTTCCACAACTGATGTTAGCCTGCATCCTTTACAGTCATTCTCATTTTCTTTGATGTTTGTTTTCACCCATTTGATTTGCTAATTTGTACTGACACAAGATTCACTTCAGCCAGTCAACATCTGGGAAAACAGACACTGAAAACAGAACAAAAACCTTATTAGTGACCACACCAAACCTTTGATGAGCAAGTGAAAATTTTGCATCTTATACGAGCTGGACCTAGAAACTACAGGAAGAAGCAGACTCTAGACAAGACGCTTACATGAGAACTACTAGAAACAAAATTGTGCGATTTGAAGCATGATTTGCTTTGCTTTTAAATATTTGTGCAAAAATGTAGGTAATATTTGTATATAAAATTATTACAGCTTCAGATGCTGCAATTAGCAGTGTTAACTTAGAGAAGACACACAATGATCTACCCCCTCCCCCAAATGTTTAAAGCATCATCATATCTTAGTCTTCATTTGCAAGTGTCTCAGTGGACAACCAGATTTTGGCACCACTTAAGAATTTGCTTAAAGGTGTTCCCAGAATGCTCCGTCTGCATAGGTTTCCTATAGGAGAAAAGGGGAATGAGGAGGAGAGAAAGTCTGAAGTCCCAGAAATGTCATTTAAACCACTTGCTCTGAAGTACATCCTGCTTTGATCCAGGTCTGAACAGTTTGCTTGCAAAGACAGGTTGCTTTTACACTGTCGAAGACTCCTGTTTAGCATGTCAACTTCATCTACCAGCAGAGAGATTTTGTGGAAGGCAGTGATGAAGCCACCATTATTAATTTGGGCCTCTGGAACCCAGCGGAAGTAGCACAGTTTCCACAGTTTTACGTGCGTTCCAGAGAATTGTGGTAGAATCACACCATGCAGGTCAACAGGCTTGGAAAACCAGGCTCTGAAATACTGCTCCAAGCTATTATTATGGCTGGCTGCCTGCTGAAGAGAGTCTGGTTTCAGTTTTAGTATCAGGGAGTTTCTTCTTGGAAGAAACTCTTGCTCACTGATGATCCCATTCTTTAGTGCTGGCGGGATTCCTCTCAGAGTTGAGCTGTAGTTCTTCTGCAGAAAACAAACAGTTAATTTAGTGCAACAGATAACACCAGCCGCAACAGGAAGTTCTGCTCTTCTACAATGCTTCACTGGACTCCAGTGGGGACTGAGCAGGTTTCTAGCTGTCCCAATTAAATGTGGCCACCCTTAACAGCTGTAACAAGCTTGTGTGTAATCACAGCATCGCTCACATGACAAATACTTTGACCACTCACAGCCGTATAAAATAGATGCGTGTATATTTCAACAGTGACTTCTAAGATAATGAACAAGGGGAACAAACTGAAATCATCAAGTCTCTTCTCTCTAGACAGTAAGTCCAGGCATACCATAAAGTGCACTGGAAGACATGCACCCAACAACAGAGACATGGAGAAATTCAATTTTCTTTAGGTTGGACACTATGGGATGTAGCAATAAAGACAGCACTCTCACTGCTAAAATGAGGTATGAATGTATCTTGTCCAATTATGCAGATAAGCTTCTGAAAAATTACTTACAATTACTTCTACACATGACATCTTAGTATTTCTCGTAACTATACTCGTAAAAGGCAAAGTAGTTCACTAACAAGAGTTTGAATCCCAGTATTACCTTTGACCTTTTAAAAGATTTCACGGCCCCGTTTTGTACGCATGGTGCACTCTTTCCAATATACAAAGGGTTGTGAAAGAGCATACGATCCCTTGTTGTAAACTGTAGAGACCAGTCCCACACAGAAGGAAATTTTAGGCCTTTTTCATCACCCAACTGGATGTTTTTGCTTATAGCAAATTCCTACAAGAAGCAATAAGTAAGCTGATTAAGAGCAAGATAAAGTAAGTTACTTACAAAGCTGCAAGTATAAAACCCTGGATTGAGCCTTCAGGGTAGCCTGGATTAAAGTGCAGGTAGCTGCAGATCACGTGTGCCAGTATTTAGACCAACACAAATATCTATTGCTGGGGAATGGAACTTAATCTTGGAGTTTCCTTGTTCTGGAGGTGGCAATGTGGGGATCGGCCTCAATTTTCCCTTGTAATAACCACATTCCTATGCTTTCTTTTTCATTTACATTTTTTTAGGGGTGCACTGAAAGATTTTTTTGGCCAATACCAATGGCCAATTATTAACCAGCCATATTGGCTGATACTGATCCAATTGCTGATATGCAGCCTGGTAGCATACTGGAGAACTGTGCCTGGCTGGTAAGTCTGTTCTGGAGAAGGGACGTGGGAGAGGGAGTAGGGCCGGGGTATGGGCAGGTACTACCCAGCCAGGGCAAGGTGGGTGCGGGACAGCCATGGGCAGCTTGTCCGTAGGGTGTGTGGGGGGGTGGCTCCTGCCACCGAGTGCACCCATGTGGGAAGCACAGGGGGCATGTGCCCCCTGGATCTGTGCGTGGGGTGAAGGCAAGCTGTCTGTCAAGGGCTGCACTGGCCTCTTCCCAGCAGGGGGAGCTGAGCTAGGGCTGCGGTAGGGGCATGTGGGGGCAGGGCAGGTGGTGGTGGTGCTGGGAGTTGGAGGCTATGGTGAATTTTGGGGTGGCTGTAACTCACCCCATAGCTCCCCCGACCCAGCACCACCACTGCCTGCCCTGCTCCAGCCTCCGCCCCACCAGGAAGAGGCCAGCACAGCCCCCAGCCACAGCAGGCAGCCCACCCTCACCCTGCACACAAATCTGGGGGGCACATGCCCCCTGTGTCTCCCCTGGGGGTATGTGCAACAGCAGGAGCTGCCCTCCTCCCCAGCCCCTGCACCCCCTGGACAAGTTGCAGGTGGCTCTGTCCTGCACCTCACCCTGCCCTGGCTGGGCAGTGCCTGCTACTGCCCCAGCCCCACTCGCTCCATCATCATGGGGGCCTTGATATGCCCTCCAAACCCCTTCCCCACTACAGACTTACCGGCTAGATGCTGCTCGCCAAGCTGCCAGGCTGCATTCCTGGCCACATACATGCTGCAACTACTGCGTGCATGTACGCGGCATTTATCAGTGACATTTTCGGCCACATCAGCCAAAAAAAGCTGATTGCTGATAATGTCAATTTTCCTTCTATCAGTGCCGATACGATATGGACTGATATATCAGTGCACCTCCCCTTTTTTAATGGAATGTTTATTTTGTGTCACATTGTTGAGTTTTACCGTGTTTTCTGAGGAAACTCCATGCTCCCTCAATTCTTTTTTTTTCTGTTCAAGTAACGATTAGATACAAAATAATTCTAGGTTAGGAACATTTTTATTAGAACATACTTGCATTGATTCAAAAGGTACATGTCCCAATTAGTATCCTCTCATTGTTAAACCTCCTATCAAACCTTCCTTTCTTCCTGGAAGATGTCTCACTTGACTTGACTTCAAGGTGTGATCTGCAAAAGGCACTGACATTCCCTTTGATTTTTTTTGCCAGTCCAACCAAGCCTGGACACTTTCCAAGAAGGGAGAGGAAAGGGGGCAATTTAGAAGCCAAGACCTCATTAAACTAAGGAGAAGGTAGGGGTTAAGAGAGAGAGAAGCCTGCCAGAAGCTCAGGCCTTGTTGAACCAAGATTCTGCTGAAGCCTTAAGCAAGACCATGCCAGGGCCTCTAGGTTAGGCATACGCTTCTCTAGATGGCTTACACAGGTGATCTTGCCTTGAGTAGGGGTTGGACTAAAGGACCTCATAGGATCCCATCCCACCCTACTTTCCTATTATTCTGTCACTAACCATGTTTCCAAAGAGGAGAAATGCAGTTACATACTAATCCTATCCACGTTCCACATTGCAAAACTACTGCTGTAGGTCCCTGAATGTAGTCAGATGAAGGAAACAATTAGTAACAATGCTCAGTTACATAGATAATATTTACAGCTATCTATGATTTACAATATGTATAAGGGTCAGTCTTATTGACATTCACCTTAAATGACTATTTTCTTTAAAAGCTCCTGCTGCAATTCTGGTATTTGCAAAAAAATCCAAATGAATACAGGCATCCCTTGCCATTCGTGGGGGGATATGTTCTCGTATCCCCCGCAAATGGCGAAATCTGCGAATATGGCACTGCATTCATGAATGGAGTACCCCCGGCGGTGGGGGGGGATGCCTCCAGTGGTGAAAGCAGGAGCAGCGGTGGGAGCATGGTGGCAGCAAGTGTGGAGCTCCTGTGGAGCTCCTATAAGTGCATAAAGTGCATTTAAAATGCAGGTTCGGCATTCGTGAATATTTGAAACCGTGAATGCCAAACCCACAAATAACAAGGGTTTCCTGTACTACTTAATGTGGATGTTATTTCCAGAACAGTAATGAGGCTTAATTTTAGTCATTTTAAATATAAGGTAATATAGTTTATACTCACAGTGCTTTCCTTTACTCGCTGGTGTGGAGAGTTGAAAAGGAAAGTGCCAAACAGTGAGATCCGTGTGCTGTCATACAATAATGTCAAGTATGTTTCAGAAAACTCAAAGGCTGCTGGGTACTGTTCAAGCAATTGCCAAACAGAATCCAGAAACATCAAGAACAATGGAGACTTGAGTGGGGGGAAAAAGAAAATGAAGATATTTGTTAGATTTAACATAAGCTTTCCCAAAACCATATCAACTTCTTTATATCCTCCTCAGGGCATTAAACACATATTTGTTATACTCCTAGATACAGAACAGAAGTTTGATACCATACAAAAGCACAAATAAATGATCCAATCCTCAAGTTTAGTACTTTTGCCATTCTACTGACAGAAGATGCAGTTATAGGTACTGGGCGACTCAGGAAACTGTTCTGTCAATTTACATCACAAATTCTTTTTCACAGCTTAATGCAAGCAGAATCGAACAGCTGTGTTCCAGTCCTAGAGCTAACATCTTTTTAAGTCCCAGAATGAGATCAGCCTTTTGACAACAGCATTTTCCTGCTGACTTATTCTGTTTGTGGTTCAGATCCTTTTCTGCAGTATTTTTGCCTAGCCAATTATCCCTGATTGTGTACCTGGGCATTTGATTTTTCCTTCTTAAGTCTAACAGTTTCTATTTATCATTATTGAGTGATGCTGGACCATTTATTCAAATGTATCAAGATCATTTTCAGCCCTGCTCTTGTTTTGCAAACACTTTGAAAGACCTCTCAACCTTGGTGTTTAACTGTTATTTTTTTAAAAGTGCACCCTCCATTCCATCATCTAGGCCTTTAATTAAAATATCAATTAAACCTAGGCCAAAACACGGACCCTTGCAGGACTTCTGTTGTACATCCACCTCATGGCAACTTTATTTAGAATATATTTTCATGGTCTGCTTATGCAAATCTCATAGAAAACCATGTCAAAAACCCTATGGAAGTTAAGCTAGCACATCTACTGCTTCCCCCCTCATCCACTAAGGCTGGCTACCCTGGCAAAGGAAATTAAATTGATTTGGTATGATTTATTCTAAGCAAATTCATATGGGCTATTTCATATTGGCTATTTCTTATCCCCTTATTATATACTAATGTATAATTCCCTTTGCTCCCCTCCCCCACTTTTTTTTTTTTTTGAAGGTAGGCATGCCCACTACTTGACAAGGGTAAGCAATTATTTTGGCTGGAGGGCCACTTTACTTAGCAGTTGAGGGCTACCCCCTTGGCAGGTGCCCTACCCCCTGGTCACCACTGTGGGACCAGAAGTCCTGCCCCTAACCCCTGACCCTTGCTACTGGAAGTCTGTCCCCTTGCCCTAAAGTACCCTGGGGTGTAGGGGGAAAGAGAAGGGGAGAGGGTTTGCCATCTTGGAACCTGAAAAAATCATATACTAAAAATCAAAATCAACTACTATAACATCTTAATTTTATTTCAAAATTTGTGAGAGATTTGATTTGTGTGCGTTTGTATAGTGTATATAGAGGTGATTGCATAATAGTTCAAAATAAAGTATTACTCACATATTGTAGGGGGGGTAAGGGGATGTATGTGGGAGGGTGTGGGGCATGTGTGTTTGGGGGAGTATTTGGTTGGAGGGTGCAGTGTGGGTATGGTGGGGGTAGTGGGTGGGAGGGGATGTGGGAGGGATGTGTGGGGTGGTGGTGGGTGCGTGAGTGGGTTGGGTGTGCATGCGTTGGGGGCTCCCCCCCAATTCTTTGTGATGTGGCTGAGTTCAGCCCCTCCATAGGCAGGGCAGGGGGGAGGGGAGGGTGGAATAAGTGCTGCTTGCCTGGCTTGCAATGTGCTGCAAAGGGGTGGGAAAGCTGCTGCTAGTGGGCCCGATCCTATTAATTGGTGGGTGCCCACCTGTGGGCCGGATCCAAATCAGCTGACAAGCCGGATCTGGCCTGCCAGCCATATTTTGCCCATCCCTTCTCTAGGACCTTTTCAGTCATTCCCTAGTTTTCAAAGATAAATCACTAATGGTTCAGAGACTGCTTTGGTTAGTTATTTGAGCTTAAAGATGAGGGTTTTTTTCCAGTCCTGGCAATTTCAATTCATTTAATTTTTCAAAATATTCTTGAACTTCGTCGTCCGCAATACTGGTATGTGTTTTTATCCCCTTGTTAAAATGTAATGCATTCACAATTGACCTTTCTGTGAAGAATGAAACATGGAAGGTATTGATTTTATCTATTGTCTTATTATTTCAGCTTACATTTAAATGAGAAATTAGTTTTACCAATAAAAAAAAAAAAAGAGCCATCTTTACTGAATCCCAAATGCATGGAAGCAAGTTAGTTTTGTTTTTTTAAATATTTTGGTAAGCAGAGGAAGAATCTGTTCAGAGAAGCCACCCCAAATCTTCCTAACAAGTATATGGACTGTGGAGTAGCACCTAAAAAGGGACTTATGTTGCTCCAGGTATCAGTAATCTACCTAATTTAACTGAATGATTTCTGTTAGCCCCCCTGGGAAAGGTTACAGTTTTGCTGCAGGCATCACTCAGTAAAATGCTAGCTCCTGAGTTATGCAGGAAGTCAGACTTAACAATCCTAACAGTCCATGTCAGCTTTAAATCTGAGTTTTAAAATATTATTTTCTATTAAAAAGGCTTTTTAATTAAACCAAAACATATTACAGGAGGAAAAAAGCCAAGTGATGCACTGCTTAAACAAACAAGATTTTGTGAGGCATCTAACATGCATTTTCCATTCTAGAAATATTTTAACAATCTTTTCTTGTCAGATGTTTCCCCAACTACTACACAGTGAACCATCTTGAGAAAGAGTTAGTCTCAGTGGATCAGGTCCCTTCCACTTCACATTACAACAACCCTCAGCAGGAGGTAATATTGGGAAGCAGTGACTCTCTTCCATCTAATGCTCAGTGTTTCTGAAAAAAAAAGTCAATTTCACTCTTTGCTCTTTATTTCTTCCCCCTCTCCCAATCTGATCTTTCCCTCCAGGCAACCTTACTCCTTCTAACAGGCTCCCCTGTGTCTGCGTTGTTCTGTTTCCTACTTCTTTCCCTAGCTGCCTCATTTCCTTCATCCCTAGATATTTATTTCCTGGTGATGCTTTGCAGCTTTAATCCTGCTGTTGGCTCCAATCCCTGAGGATGTTGTCTTTTTACTCTCCTTAAATGTCAGCCCTGAAAGATGCTACTAAACTAGGTCCACTGTTCCAGTTGCTATTACAAGCCTCCAGGCTCTTTTTGTAATGAAAAGATTGACAACTGTGGAAGCAGCTAGAAACAAACAAACCTACCACATCACAACCCACTCATCTGTAGTTCAGTTTGGAAATTGTGTAATAGACTGTAGGCTCTGCTCCAAATGCCCCACTACCATATCAACACTGTGATACCTGCATCAGTAATGGATTTGTGAAACAGGGTTCTATTTAAAAGGAGAAGGACAATGAAAAGGAAGTAAGTGGTCGTGGAAAGAGGCTCCCCAAATTCTTTGCAGGTCAAAGTCTTGGATCCCCAGTTTGATTATTTAAAAAACCCAGGATAAACTACACAAGACTGTTTTGAAACATTAACACCATTACAACATAAACAAACAGCAACACTTGCATCATTAAGAGTGTTAATGACTAACATAAGAAGTAGAGAATGAAGACAAGGTAAGGCTAATCAGTGACATAAACTACATGAATTTGGGAAACACAGGAAGGGATTTCTATTATGATTTTTTAAAGGTTAAATTCATAATGGCAGTCATTCCCCAACATGCTTCCATTCCCTATATCAATATAATGTAGTTTTTACCTCTTTGTCAGATCTCTTTAAGTGGTTACACCTATCTAAAAACTGATATCCTGCCATCACCCACTCCTTCTGTAGTAAGCTCTGAAATCCAACAATCGTCCGAAAATAGGGATCCAGCATCACTTGAACGAGGGAGGCTACAAGGCAGCTTAGGTCCCGTCCTTCTTCCTCTGAAAATAACATAAATAATATTTTTATTTATATATTTCAAAGAGGTTAAAAGGCACAAAACTGGCAATTTTCAGTTCAGTACTCACATTTGGGAGCTTTTAAAAAATGTTATATATGGAGAATGACAAAGATAGCTATTTGATTGGTTGGTTCTATTGTAGAGGCCACCTAATAAATGAACTGTCTGATCTATAAATCAGCTGACTTTTCAGTCTGTCTATTTTGAAATGCCCACTAGCCATTATTTGTACACATTCAACATCAGAGATACATGGTCTATAATGTACAACTCAGGGCCCTGACATCTTGTTACATTTAAGACACAATCTAAGTATTAATCATTCCATAAACAGTAATCTATCTGGCCATAGGTTAAAGCCAATTTATGGTGTGATAATATAATAAATGAGCCACAAAGATATTATTGTACCTTATATTGAATGCTGGGGATGAGCCATGACAGAGTCTGGTACTCAGTTGAGTGTAGGGATTCAGCATGGAGCAGCTTCAGTGTCTGGGACACAGCTGCCCCACACCTGATCCATGGGATTGGGCTGGGCCTGGACCTGGTGCCACCAGCCAATCCTCGCAGGCAGATGGCATGGTCAGACATTGTAAACTTGACATCAGGGAGCATCTCCCCAGTCCTGGGCTCACTGAAATCCAGGGTGTGCAGGTGAGAGCCTTGGGGTGCCTAGGGAAGCAGCAGCTGGGAAGCTGAGAGATCTGCTCCACAACTGTAGGTGCTGCTTCACAGTGCAGGGCCTGGGCAGCTGGGGAGCAAACTCTTTAGATTCTACTGGTTATGTTACAGCCCAAATACACTGCACAATTTCTTCCTGTAGTTATGAACTTAAAATATTTGACTACTCTCTCACATCATTTCAGTAAAGTAAGATCCAGGTAAATTATATTCATCATCCACTTGTTTTAACCTTTAACCTTACTAATGACAATTATAGCATATTAAAAGGTTATAGTACCTTGCAGAACTACAGAAACACGCTTACATTCCAGCATATATACAACCTCAACAGAATGCTTAAGGAATGACCTAGGCAAAAAAAAAAAGTAATTAACTTCACAATTAATACCAAGAGAATCATAATTTGACTGACCATTTTTAAGATTTGGGGAGGGGATTTTCAAATGCAAGTTAAATAATTCAGCAGCACAAGTGCTGCTGATTTCATTGGGATTTACGCAAAGAGGTCATGTAGGCACATCCCAAAAATCTAACATACATTAAAACAATAAGATAAAACTTCAACTTTTCCCAGGATTCTAGTTTCACAGACTTTCTGTTTAAAAGACTGTGAAAGCTGAGTTTGAAATGGTGCCTAATACAGCCTTGATTTTTTAAAGACTTACATTTACACACACACACTTTTAAGCACGTCATTCAAGTAATGAATGTTAAGTCCACCATTTTGTTTTTGTAGGATTCCATCTTATGTAATAAAATATATTTAAGTATAAACAGTTTACAAATATCAATTTCACTTACTTATTTTTACATAGTAAAAAGTCCACCTATATGCTTTATTGCTTATTTACATTGGTGAAAATTTAAGGAGGTAATATTAACCATAATCTTCTAGTTGTACTTTTTGTACACACCTGATGTATTCTAGCCAGTGTGTATTTTCCAGTGAGGACAGCCACTTCTCTTCCGTTTCTTCAAAAGGTTCTGCATGTTTTAAAGAATCATTCAGATGAACAAAACTTGACATGTCATATCAATAGGTCATGCTACTCACTACCTTCTATAGGACTTTACAGTAACAGCTGAAGACATTTAGTATATATCCCTCGATAAAAAACACAGTTTTCTTTTATGTGCCAGGCTGCAGACCGCAGCCATCACATGAAGTTTTATATCTAATCTGCTTAGTGCATGAACTATAACCCGTGATTCAGAATGAAGTAAAAGCATGTAGGCTCTACCAAGCTATTCTGCAACACAACACACCTTTTAAACAGATTTCAAATGTAGGCAAGATAATCACTCCTTAAGAAAAAAAAAACTTGCTTATCTCAAACCTTTCAAACTATATTTTTGCAACCTTATTCCTAAATACCTCCAAAATAGAATATGCTTAAGAATGATATCATGACTTACCATTAACACACAACTGTTTGAGTTTAATAAATGCAGCCTGGATTTCCTGGATATTGGGTAGACACTTGTCCAAATCTGATTTGTAAACATCACTTCTCTGTGGATGGCTTCGAGTTATTGCATTACAAATCCTAATGAAAAAGCGTTAAAAACTTTAATCCTGGACTGGGAGGAAAATAAGTTCACCAGCATAGAAGTATACTTATGGATACAAAGGGGTTTTTTTGTGTTTTTTTTAAAGAAAGTATTTTAGTTGGTTGTTAGGAAGGCAAATAGCTTATGTAAAAAAGCTATTTGGCCAAACAGCAAAATGGAAAAGCATCTGATTAGCATTCAGCTTCAATGCATGTCATGCTTTTGTGGCCATATGGAATGCATGTGGAGGCAGAATTGTTGACACACATTTCAGAAACTTTCAATTCCCACTGAGGAGCTAAATTAAATCTGAGCAATTGAAAACAATGGATTGTTTAAAGGTATGCTAGAAGAGGCAGCTATTATTCACAACAGCACAGAAGCTGTAGGAAGAAAGCCTGTTGGGGAAGTGTGTTTAACGAAGTACATAAAAGGAGACCTGGACATAAGGCTAAAAGCTAGACACTGTTCAGTTTGAGCCTGGCTCTGACACCAGCTCCCTCTAGTCTTCAGAAACTTACAGAACCTCTATATTAAGGATAGTATGCGCCTCTAGGTTCTATATACATTATCTAATGCTTATAAAGAGATCTGAAGATGAAAAGCTATTATTATGAGGACCATCACGAGGCCAAACCTGCAACGGTAGGAGTGAAAGAAAACTTGAAGGATGAGATATCTCAGTTAGAGAAGTTAATAGATTTGTTGTCAATATTGAATATTCAATGATACTTAAGAAATATATAAAAGCATATAAACTTTAGTGTCCCAAAGGGAACACTAATCAGAGCTTCACTTAAACCACCCAAAGGCAATTAAAAGGTTTACAAGCAGTCTTCTAACCTATTAAACATAAGGAATAAAAGGTACCAGTCTTGCAAGGTGCTCTGTGATTTCTGTACTGTGAAAGTTGGGGGGTGGGACACACGACTTATAAGGAAAGGCAGAGGGAACTGGGCTCATTGGGCATTTGTACATGTACTCTGGGAGTGTAGGGGGGAGGTGCTTTAAATTACAGCAGCTCTGAGAGCCACTCTAAAGTGCCCAGAGTGTCATGTGTATCAGCATCCCCACGCTGAAAAATGGTGGCAGGGGCGCTTTAATTCAAGCTCATTGCACAAGCTTTAGTTAAAAGCATCCCCGCTGCCATTTTTCAGCACAGGGATGCTGATACATGTGACGCTGGAGTTTGCTAAAGCATGGTAATTACCACGTTCCAGCAAACTTAATGAATCGTGTCTGCTCCGACACACTGTAATTACAGCACAGCAGAGCAGCGTTGCTGCATGTGTATAGGCACCCATTTAGTCTGGAGAAGAGAAGACTGAGGGGATTTAATAGCAGCCTTTGACTACCTGAATTGTCATTCCAAAGAGGATAGAGCTAGACTGTTCTCAGTGATGGCAGATGACAGGACAAGGAGCAATGGTCCCAAGTTGCAGCAAGGAAAGTTTAGGTTGGATATTAGGAAAAACCACTCATGAGGAGGGTAATAAAGCACTGGAACAGATTACCTAGAGAGGTTTGTGAAATATCCATTCTTGGAGGTTTTTAAGACCCAGCTAGACAAAGCCTTGTGTAGGATGATCTAGTTGGGGCTGGTCCTGCTTTGAGCTGGGGGATGGACTAGATGACCTCCTGAGGTCCCTTCCAACCCTAATTTTCTATGATTCTAATGTTAGTGGGAAATACGGTGTTTGGCATCCCAAAGCAGTATTTATTGTCTTACAGAATTCAGTCTATGTTGCTTTGTATCTTCCAAGCACTGCAAAAAGATTAACTTATTTTCAAAATTTTTCTGTGAGCGAGACAAAAGTAGAAGTTCCCCACTGGTGGTACAGTAATATCAATGCGATAAGAGAAGCAAGTGTAACAATGGGGTTGTGTCACTGGTGTGCTGTGCAGTTCCCAGTGTGGCTAAGAGACCAGAAGCCTTAAATGTACATTATCAAAATATTATTAATTAAATATGACTTAAGTGTACATTAAGTAATTCCAAGGCTTCGTGCAGACTACCTGCTTGGAGATAAATTTCACACAAACTGCTGCATCACGAAAAAGGTATGTGGCTTATAGCCCACTAATTGTCTCATATATGTCTGGTTAAGTAATGCTAATAGGTTATAGTTTACCTTTGGTCTATCTTTCTTTGTTGTAATACATCTTTAATGTTGGCCATTCTCACAAGAGCACTCCCATTAGGGTGATTCCAGCACCATACCTGACAGAAAGAGATTAGTGAGTACCATGTGACAAAACAAAGACAGATTCCTAATTCCTGTGTATAAAATGTATCACTGTCAAATATTATATGACAATGAAAATCAACATAAAGTGTACACTTACTGGCATTCGTCTCCCAATGAATGAGTAAGAATAGAGCTTCAGGTCCTGATCTGCTAAGGAAGATGGGACTACAAAGTATTCTGGAAGGCTGGGGGAAAAAATGCAATGCAGAGTAATTTTTCTTGAAAGCACTTATTAACTGTCCTGGAGACAGAAGCCTACTACCAACAGTGGTGTGTTAGCACAAGAGCTGAGCCTCAGAATAATAATGCAACTTAAATGAGGTACTACATAAGCACAGCGTATGTATGGTAATAACCACTCTATTCCCTTGTGTGTTCAGTAAGCCACTCATGATACTAGCAATAAAACTCATATCATGAGTATGTCTCACTTGTGGGACCCAGCACTACAATCTTGGTTTCTCTTGGTTCAAACAAAAGCATGCCTCCTTTGCATTACCTCCATTAGAAAAACGAAGTGAGATATATCCCTTCACCTCCAACAAAAACATCTAAAAGCATGACCCAAACAGGAAGCTAAAGCCATAATGTTTTCTGATGCACTATCAGTTTACCAACCTCTATTAATTGCTTACTTCTACCCCTCCACAGGATCCGATCCAAAGAATGGAAATCTCAGGTTTGTTTTACAGATACATATGGGAAGAAGACACAAGCTCAGGGGCGGACCACTGAGATGCTCACAGAGCACTATGGAAGCGACAGACAGTGCCACTCTAACAATGTTCCTATGATTTTCCATTATAAAGTTCCAAACTGTGTTAAGATAGTAAATCACCTGAAAGATTCTTTTATAAAAATATGAACTCAAGAAAAACTCTCAGGTCTGATCAAAACGCATCCACGTTTTCCTACCAGCATCTGATCTCTCTTTGGGCCAATGTAAAGTCAAAATAGCAACAGTCAAATTAGCTTGTTTTTCATTGGTACAGACTTACCAAGTAGAAATCATGTAACCTTCATTGACTGAACAGACTCTCCATTCTGATGCACCTGTCCTTTTGATTTCTCTATCCCAATCAGAGTAAGCTTCAAACAAAGGAGTCTGTTGACCACTGCCACTGCTTCCACCACCTCCTCCAGGATCTATTCCATTTACTTTTTTTGCTAGAAAAGGAAATTCATCAATGCAAGATTTTTAAGAATCTCCCTTGAACATTTGATCATGCTAATTACTAGAGTGGAATCTTTTCTAAATAAGAGGTAGGTGTTCCTTACATCTTCCAACTGATGTTGCCTCATCACAGATTAACCAGTAGCGATATCTTCCCTACAGTTTGGTAATAAACAAGGGTGACTGTTTCAATACAGCGAACTGTGTGCAGCTCTTGTATTGATTCAGTTCCTAGAACACAAAGGCCTAGTCTGGAAACAGTGTTGCATTCATTTGTAAGTGATCTTTTTCTAGGTCTACAGATTAAAAATTTCCTGGAACTGACCTGTTACAATGTACTATTTTAAAATATCATATTTATGCAAAACCGAGATGACTCTGAATTTATGATGACCTTGCAATAATTATATTCTATACATGGAAACATTATAAATTTATTATAAATGTATTATAATTTTCCATGTATAGAATCTAATTATTAGAGGCTCGTCTTAAATTTGTCTTGTTCCCACTGGGGAAAGTGGTGGCAAGGGGAATGGGGGAGGAGCCAAGGGGTCTGCCCCCCTTGCCCTCCCATAATTTGCCATCCCTGTTGCCTGTCCCTACCTGCCTGCACAGGAAAACGGATTGGGGGGTGGGAAGGGGGGGAGGCTGCAGAGGCAGCATGGGGCACAACACTGGGGGGAGGAGGGAGCAGAGGCCGCAATGGGATGGGGCCAGAGTCAGAACAACAGCAGTCCTCCATCTCCCACCTCATACTTCAATCCAAAAATGAGGAGCTTTTACCCCCATCTTAAATGGGGGTAAAAAATACTCATCTTGGGTTCAAGTGAATATGGTAGCTAACTGTTCTGGAAATTCAGCTAAAATTTGCTACTACTGATAAAAATTCTGAGAACAGATTGACTATTACTGAGCCACAAACTTTCCAGATAACACCTGCTTTGCCATCCTTTCCACTGTTCTAACAGTTTTGATTTAAGAGGTGCTTTTTCAGCAAACTCCTACATTCAAAAGAGCTGGAAAAGGTTCTTTTTGTTCTTAGTACAGGGGCCAAGGCAAAAAAAATGCTCCAGTAACAAGGCTTACTAATACATCACATGACATTACTCATTCTGACTAAACTGCTCTGATGTTAAGAACAGCTTTGGTTCTCATACAAGGATGTTATTATATACCATGTTACCAATTAATTAGCAAGATTTCCGCTACTGTTTTTTTCTTTTGAAACAAATTGGTCAATTGTGTTGAAAGCATGGGGCACACTGTTTCCTGAGTTGAATTAAAAACATTATGTAAATTGAGGCCCAGTTCTATAATCTAATCTATGAGGGATCAGACAGGGCAAAGGAATCAGCTTGAACATAAATTGCAAGATACTATCACCCCAAAGACAGAGTGTCAGCTTACTCCTTTTATATCACCAATTTAATCTTTCCAGTAGTTTTAAAAAGACCCTTCCTTGAGTATGCTTTTCAAGAGAGACCCATTCCAAAACTGAGGTAAAGTGATATTATGGTAATGCAATCTCCTGCCACTTCTCTTACTACCTTACATTCCAAGTGTGACCACAAGTAGGAATCCTTTTTTCCTTATGTAAATCAGTGAGTAATTAAATTGTATCTTTATACAAGTGTCTTTTAAACTGTTTTTATATTTTTTTAAATTTTGGGGGGCTGGCTTTGGTTGGTTCCTCATAAGTTACTCTGAGGATATTTAGGTACATATTTAGGTTAAATGTAAACATAATTATGTTTAAAAGTTTATATCAGAACAGACACTTTAAATTATTTTTGGTATCATCAAATTAGAGCCGCTGGCTTAGTTTTCTTTATGCTTCCTTATTTTTTCCTAAAAATGTATTAAATGAATAAATAGGAGCTCAGTCAGATCTCCAGAAAACACTCGAAGTTTTAGATTGGCTCATAAATGAAGATTAATTTGACACTCTCATTCAACCAGTCATTTGTACGTATCACAAAAGGTCAAGCTTATTCTGCTGGTCCCATATTTTAAAAGCTCTAATATTTTCCCACTTAAAAAAAACAAAGTATAAAGCATAAGGAAGCTGTAAAAGATTTGGGGCCAGGTTTTGTAAGGTAATTTAGTTGCTTAATGTTCCAGATAAATTCCATTAAGAGCTTCAGCAGTTTAGATGCCCAACTCCCACCTAACCTGCTGAGACACTTCTGTATCTCCCACTAGGCTCCAACCTGCAACTTTGAGCATATCCCACCTTCGAGTGCCTGGCCCTTTATTTCCAACTGTGGGGGTGCTATGGCAAGGCTTTGGCTTTACTTGCGAGCTAGAGCTGTCACACATGCCCACTCACACAATTAAAACAGCTGGAATTGTAGGCAAAGTGAGAAAACAATTGTGGAAAGGAATTAGAATTTTCATAATGTCTTTTCACAGCAGAAAATGTTAGCATAATTAATATACTGGTATAGGGAGCTTTTTCAGATAAAAATAAAATTTGTTTGTTTTGGATAACAAGTTATGATCACACCAATTAATTTACATACAGAAAGTAAAGGTTTTGGGTGCGGTATAAGTCCATTTTAATTATCTCCTAATATGCACTGGGGAAAAAGTGTGAACAAATACAAGAGACACTATTTTAAAATAACTATATGGGTTTGATATTTTCAAAAGCACAGAGGAGAGGGAAAAAAATAATGGGAAAACTCTGAAGCACCCATTTTTTTTACAGGACTGGCAGGGGAGCGGGCTGGGTAAAACCCGGGGCTGTGTCAGGGATCCCAGTCAAACACGAGAACACTAAGCAGAGACTTCCCTTTCAGGAATGTCTGCCGGCTCCCCCCCCTAGCCACTGTAGCCCAGCAAAACCACTGGCAACATTGTCACTGGTTTGCTGCCCCCATTAGTACTCTGAAACTCCAAAAGGGTATTCTGTTTATTTTACCCACTTCATGTAATGCAACTCTTCTACTCGCCTTTCTTTCAGGTAGCACAGCCATTTCATGGACAGAGTAAGGATGGCTTTGTGAAGGCTGTGACAGACATAGCATTTTATTAACACCTTTCTCTCTCTCTCTCCAGTATACCGCTACAGTTTCTGTAGATTTGCTCCCTACTGCATCATGCAGCTGGAATGAGAGTGTGGATTTTATTTAACACTCTCTTTAAACGTTACTGCACACATTTGAAGTGTCCCCATCACACAAGCACATAAAACATTATTGTGCCCATCACACAAGCAAATATAAACTTCCATGTGGGCACTCACAGTGGAGTTAGGTGGACACATGTAGAAAATGAGCATGCCCATTTGGGGCAAGTTTGAAAATCTGGCCTTTTTGTAGACCCCTCCGTGGACCCCATGCTGAGTTCCTTTAGTGGTGAAATCATTGGTTTCTAATGCAAATGGCAGAGTAAGGATATTAAATAAATGACGTACCTCTAGAGCACTTTTCATATTTGGAAGCTTACTGTAATGGATTTGCAACTTCTGGCTGTGTATTGGCTGGGGAGCACTAAGCAGTGACCTCACAGCATTACACTAGAAATCAAGATCCAAAGGCATCTTTTCCAAGCTTACCTAACTGACAAGGTTCAGTTGGAGATTGGCCTTGAGCAGAGAGGGTGAGCTCCAACTCAGCAGGGGTGGTGGAAGATTTGAGTGGAAAGAACTGCCTAGTAAGCCTCTAGGAAAGGAAATATGGAGTCCCAAGTTGCACAAATCCTCCTGCAATACCACCAGAAGAGAAACTTACTCCTAACAGAAGGCCAGGTGAACAAACCTGCCTGGGGATTTTCTGAGTGTCCAGAGTACAAATACAGACACACAATAAGAGGAATGGAGGGCAGATTGAAAAATAATGCCATTCATGCTGGTATAGAGAGCTTTTTCAGATAAAAAAATAAAATTTGTTTGTTTTAGATAACAAGTTATGATCACATCAATTAATTTACATACAGAAAGTGAAGGTTTTGGGTGCAGTATAAGTTCATTTCAATTATCTCCCAAAGCAAACCTCAAACACTTCTTGCCCTTGCTTTACTACAAAAGTCTCCAGCCTTACTACAGTTAGAACAACTGCACATATTAAAGAATGAAAACAATGAACCAAAATCTGTTTATAGTTACCTGGATTATGATACATTTTCCCAACATATTCAAATGCAAAGAGCAGCTGAAGATCTGTTGGCTGAGAATAGTGAGCAATTGCAAGGCACACCTAGGGGAAAAAAAAGAAGATACTTGCTTTTACTCTTCAGCATTATTAAATATAAAGTACTTTAGTGTAAGAATCAAGACAACTTAAATATATTACCATGGCACTGTAAAAATGTGTAAAATGAGATAGATTAAAGATAATCTTTTGAGGTACTCTTTCCAGATTTGACCCAAGAAGAGGATTACAACATATTGTTACAATTGGTTAAGTCAGAGCTTTCCAAACTTTTCATGTTGGTGACACACTTTTTAGACATGCATCATTTCGCGACACAGTAATTCAGTTCCGGGGGAGGGGCCAAGGGAAGCAGACGTGAGTAAGGGAGCTCCGCGGTGCCCTTCCGCAAAATTTTCTGCATTTCGCGCGACACACCTACACACTGCCGCCGACACACTAATGTGTCACGGCACACAGTTTGGAAAGCTCTGGGTTAAGTGCTAATATTTGGTGAGAAAGCATTATCATCATCAAGGTAGGTGATTTTCTTTTGACTGTCCATCAGGAGCAACTCAAAAGTATAGACTGACATAACAGCAGCATTTCTTAGTGCTGAAAACAAAGATCTGTTTATACCAGAAAGGGCAACCAGCTTCAGCACTTCCAAACTGTTCTTTGTCAAAAGAAGTCCAGACTGTGGGAGCAAGACACTGAACTGCCCTTGTGGATTCATACGCACACATGGGGAGGACAGGGGAGCAGAGCCAGAAAAGAGCAGAAGGCACCTGTGCAGTGATGAACCACACAGGGCCTTATTCCTGGCTGATCCTTCGGCATTACTCGTGTGTGTGTGTGTGTGTGTGTGTGTGTGTGTGTGTGTGTGTGTGTGTGTGTGTGTGTGTGTGTGTGTGTGTGTGTGATAAGCAGTAATAGGCTTCATGCACAACCTTTGACATTAATATTTTGAAACAGCATCGCATTTTCACTCACAAGACTTGCAGGAGTTATGACAGTCCTGCATACGTGTAATTCCTGTTCACGGATGCCTTCAAGATTTCTGGAGTAAAAGTCAAGAGACTCAGAAAAGTTTCTATTCATTAGACTAGGAAATGCTCTCTTCCTGCTGGATGCTTCTGGCTTGTTTTTTTAGATGGCCAGAGCACTTTCAAAATTTCAGTGAAGCATCCAGTGAGAGGTACAGATGGCAGGTGTTACTTGACAAGGTACAAGGACGTACAGTTAGTTAGGAGTGTTAAAAAGCAAACACTTTCCCATTTGCTGAGAAATTCTGGAAGCTGACAGATCAGCCAGATGATCTGGGAAGTCTGATGTCAGCCTGATAACTGGGCCTGGCCCTCAGAGACTCACCCTGGATGACTGGTTTTTAAACAAACACCCTCCATATTAAAATACCTCTGAGCCCAGCCTCTCTAAGAACCTGATGAGATGGCTAGGCTAGCAGGCTGAGTCATGTACCTTGCCTAAGGGCCCTACTGCAGCATCTCAATTGGAGAACAAGTACATCCTTGCCACCTCAACATAAGAAACAGCTCCCGCAGGTAAGTCTGTACATGGGGATTGAGGCCCCCATAGGAAGGGAAGGAGGAAGTTGGGCAGGGATGGGGCCACTGCCCAGCCCAGTGGTGCATGGGGCTTGGGGCCATGTGTGGTTGCAGGGCCCTGGCGGGGAGCAGGACGAGGCTGCAAGGGGCTCATCCAGGGGGAGTGGGACTGGCTCCCAGCCACTCCGCACACTCCTGGGGTGGCAAGGTGGGCACATGCCCTCAAGATCTATGCATGGGGGGCAGGCTGCCCACTACTGTGGGCTCAGGCTCCCCACCCTGCTGCCCTTCCCTGGGGCCTCCACAGCCCGGTGGGTGGGACTCAGCATGGCAGAGCAGAGTGGAGCCAGGTGGGGAAGCTCCTTGCCATTGCAAGCCCCACAGTTCCTTGGCAACGCACCCCCTGCCCACCTGGTAGCAGCAAGGGGCACAAGCCTGCACTGCTATCCCCACTGCAGCCAGGCAACCAGGGGGCTCTTTGCCAGGGCAGTGCTAGGCTCACAGCTGCAAGGAGCTTCGCACCCAGCCCCGCTCTTTCTTGTCATGCCAGGTCCCACCCACTGGGCTGCAGAGGCCCTGGGGGAGGGCCACAGGGTGGGGAGCCCAAGCCCGCAGCCTGCATCTGCCCCTGCCCCATGCACAAATATGGGGGGCATGTGGCCCCCCCCACTCCTTCCTGGGAGTGTACACAGCAGCAGAAAGCTGGCCCCTGCTTGTCTGAACCTGTAGCGGGCAACCTACCCCCCACCTATGGGCTCCACTTTGGGTGTGCTGCCCATGGGAGAAGGGAAGCCAGGCTCCTTGCAGCAGCTGTCACCTCCCGTGGGTGGCAGCAGGGGCTCAGCTGCTGCTGTGGGAGGCCCTGGCCCTGTAGCCCTGGCAGAGGCAAATCATAAAAAAAAAAAATCATTAAAATCTCTTATCAGAGAATTTGTAATTTTTTACCAGAATCCGAGTGCCAGTGTCCCGAGCAGCCCAGCAGTCTTGCCTGTGCCATTCCAGTGCTCTCTGTCCTCACTCAGACTTCACTATCTGCCCTGGGACCGTCCCTTTTCTCTCCGCCTGCCCCCTGGGACCTTCTCCTTTCCCCCCAGCTCTCTCTGAATTTCACTCTTCTCCTCAAGCCCCATCAGATACACTTGCAACAAAACAGCTGCAAAACTGTAGTCTCACCCAATACAATGAAACATGGTTTAGGGAATCAAAGGGCAGTGTCTGTGGCTTGCTTTCAGGCCTACACAATCATGTGCCCCTGGGGTGAAAAGGACATTTAGATGTCCTATTTAGGGACCTAAAAGCATTATTTACATTAAAGCCCGCCCACACGGAGCCCCTCACTGGAACAGCAGGCTAGAACTTAGCCCACCTCATTACGCTAAGATTCAAACAACCTTCCCCACTTTACCCAAATATGCCTCTTTCATTTCAAAGGAAACATCTGAGAAGGGTGATGGTACACCTTCACTACAGTGAAATTTATCCTATAAATTAAGCTTCAACAAATTCTACCTGTCAACATTTTTAAAAATCTCATTACAAAATGTATTTATGGAGAAAATACACCGGCCGGTGAGCAGGATGGGTATGAGAAGCACTGGGTTGGGACTGGCCATTAATGCTTACAAATAGGGCCTGGTACAAACAAGGTTGAGAACCACTGGCATCAAGAAGGAGCAGAGAAAACAGCACAATGTTGTCTTATTTATCTTTTCTTACAAACACTTCTCTGTAAGGTGCTAAATGCTCTTCTAAACCAGTTAGTCTCTGCTCCGCCTTCTGCTTCACTTCAGAGAAGCACAACCACACAAACACAGCAAACATCACTTCTCTCTACTTCCTCATTAGGAAAAGGGCAGTGAAACTTAATCAAAGGAAATTATCCAGCATTAAGACAGGTAGATAGTTTGTAACAAACATATGAAATAGATACATTTTCATGATTTGCCTTTATTAACAAAAAACCTGAAACAAAGGCCAGACTTTTTTTTTTTTTTTTTTATACACACACACTCTCTCTCTCTCTCTCTCTCTGACCTTCTTTGTAACAGCCAGCCTCATAACTTTGGAAATATCAGCATTTCTGGTTTTCAAGTTTAAAAGATTTTTAATAAGCAAACATTTATCAGGCTATGGAACCTGAACATATATGGTGCCTCTTCAACTCACAAGCATACTATATGTCTGTATAAATATTAGTAAAAAAATGAAAGTTTTATTACAGGCTTGCTAATGGACAAGACTTTATAAACATACCAATAGATTTCTACTAACCAGTCCCATTCAATAGCAAGAAAACCCCAAGATTATCAGGTTTTAAGGCTGACAACAATAAGTATAGCAATTGTTTCTTATCTTGAATAATACTGGGTGGTAACCTAAATGTCCACTGTAGGTACCACTACTTAAAGATCATAACCCAGCACATTACGTATTCTTTTGTACTTAACTAAATTTTGCCTTTAGGCTATACTCATTTTTTCACCATATTTTACTCAATATAAAGCAGTGTTTGGTATGCTTGGGACAGTGTTTGAAGACAGTTTGCTTCTAAGAGGTTGAGAACACTCTCTTACACATTTTATCTGTTGACAGAAAAGGTTTTCTTATGGCCTAAAACAAAAATATGAAAATGGGATTTCTATGCACACCATTAAGGGATTAACAGTACTGACAGTACAATGCCACAGAAAAAGGCAAAGAGTATACATTCAGGCTGGATTCCATAGCATGATGATTACTACCACATCACTAGCCTTTATGCTTCCTATACAGGAGATAGGACCTGCATTTTCATTTTGCTGCTGGCTTTTGGCAAAGACATTTACCACCATTTACAGAATTATCTCGTCCATGCTATGCTTCAGGCTAACTTGATCTCACTGAAAACTTGCTGCTTTGCACACACTTACCCAATAACCATACAATATGTTAACAAAATCTTTAAAAAACACAGTCCCTGAGACTTCTTTCCCTGTATTATTTTCAGTTCAACAATGAAACTACAGTGCAGAACAGAAGCGGTCTCATGTGGTTTTTGACAAACACAGAGCAAAGCAGTCATTGTAAAATAACTTTGCACAAATGTTCTTGAGCAGTTTGTGGGTTTTCTTGGTAGGCTGGAGGCAAGGAGAAGGTAGGTCCATATATTTAAGAGTGGTTGCATATGCATGATAAAATATATTATATTATATTATTGATAGTTTACATATTTAGAGTCCCCAAATTAAGAAAGAAATGTATTAGCATTTGTTCTGCTATGACAATCCCTCTGCATTTTAGGCAAGTGAAACCGATGCAAGCTACTGCATCAAGTAGTTCCTTCTAACAAGTCCTAAAGCCAGATTTATATTCTATTTATCCCTAACTTCATAAAGTAGTGTTATTGTCCAAGACGTCAAGCAAGCAAATTCCACGTTCCTCCACAGAACACCACCTAAGGCTGAAAGCTCTTAAAATGAGAAGACACATGTTTTACAGGAAGCGCTCTCATATCATACTGAA